AAGAGAAGCATGAATGTCCTTGAAGAGCTGAACATTTTGATAGCTGAAATAGCTGAAAGTTTGCTGAAGTAGAATTTTCCCATTCATTTGAATGGGGCAAGATTTTCAAAATAAAACTAAATATTTAAAATGTATGAAGTTTAGAAAACTTCTGAATATTAGTATCAATGTCCTTGAGTTTAGACTGGTTGGTTAAGTTTAGTCAATATTGTAGTTATTAATTGCAGGGTTAAAAATGGTTATGGTTAGGGTAATTTGTATGGGCGGGTGTTAAAATTTGGAAATTAAGTTGGTTAAGGTTAGGCCATACAGTTATTCATCAGTTAAGATTAGGCATTAAAACTCCAAGCGTCAGCGGTTAAGTTTGGGCAATAAAGTTACTGGTCGGTTAAGGATAGGCACTAATACTCCAAGCATTAGCGGTTAAGGTTAGGCCATATAAAGACAGTACGGTTAAGTTTAGGCACCAATCCAAGTGGTTAAGATTAGACCATAAAGGTTATTGATCAGTTAAGATTAGGCAATAAGTACTATTAATAAAGTGGGTCCAGGTAGTGTAAACCCAAGCGCTAGCGGTTAAGATTAGGCAATAAAGGGATTGATTGTTTAGGTTTAGGCAAAAGGTCCAAATGGTTAAGGTTAGGCAATATAAGTTATTGATTGGTTAAGATTAGGCGATGAGCACAATTGATAAAGTGGGCCCAGGTAGTGTAAACCCAAGCGCTAGCGGTTAAGATTAGGCACTAAAGAGATGGATTGGTTAGGTTTAGGCAAAAGGTCAAAATAGTTAAGATTAGGCAATATAAGTTATTGATCGGTTAAGATTAGGCGATAAGCCCTATTGATAGAGTGGGTCCAGGTAGTGTAAACCCAATTGTTGGCGGCTAAGGTTAGGCAATAGAGTTAGTGATCGGTTAGGTTTAGGCAAAAGGTCAAAATGGTTAAGATTAGGCAATATAAGTTATTGATCGGTTAAGATTAGGCGATAAGCACTATTGATAAAGTGGATCTAGGTAGTGTAAACCCAATTGTTGGCGGCTAAGGTTAGGCAATAGAGTTAGTGATCGGTTAGGTTTAGGCAAAAGGTCCAAATTGTTAAGATTAGGTCATAAAAATTATTGATCGGTTAGGATTAGGTTATAGGCCTTATTGATAAGTAGGATCAGGTAATATAAACTCAAGCGCTTAGAGTTTAAGGTTAGGTAAAAGAAGGGCTGACTTTTGGTTGGGTTTATGCAAAGGGTCCAAATGGTTAAGATTAGACAATAAAAGTTATTGATTGGTTAGGATTAGGCAATAAACTTTATTGATAGAGTGGGCCTGGGTTGTGTAAACCCAAAGCACCAGCGGTTAAGTGATAGCGGGACTGAGTGGTTAGGCTTAGGTCAAAGGTCCAAATGGTTAAGGTTAGGATATAAGGGTTATTGAACGGTTAAGATTAGATGGCCAGCCCTGCTGATTTAGGCAGGAGAAGAATTAATCGGTTAGGTTTAGGTCAGAGGTCAAATGCCCCAATTCAGATCGAGGGAGGATTGGTTAAGTGTTTAGGCAATAGGCTGGGTGGTTAAGTTTAGGCTTTAAACTTTTAGTGGTGGTTGGTATTAGTCTTTTCAGCTAAAAACGTTTAAACTAATTAAGGTTCCTCAGAGAATTGGACAATGACTGTTATTTGTGGTGTCTTTATTCCATTTTTGCAATTTTTTAGGATGTGTAATAAAGAATTGATAAAACTTGTTGACTTCTTAACGTTTAGATTGCTCTATTTTATCTGTTTTAATTCTTCTTTCTTTCCAGGGTGTTGTTACCACTGTTTGAGAACTGATCCCTGTTTATTCTGTTTTGTATATACATTGTCTAAGGTAGTAGTTGGTTCTTTAAATTTAGAAACTAAAGAATTCTGTGTTTTAAGGTTTAAATACGCAGTGGTACTATTCCTTGCTATTAATGTAGGAGCTCAGGTCCCTTTAACCTGTTGTTATTTGCCATGCATTTGGCTCCATCTTGTGGTGCGCGAGGGGGATTGCACCAGTCGAGTAGTCCTGTATGGAGATAAAATCCTATCAAAAAATGTTACAAATGCGTGTTTAACATTTTGTCTGTAACAAGCGATTTGTGTGTGTGT